GGAGAACGGGTTTTTTAGCACAAAGATTTTCCCCCTACCAAACAGAGAATCTTGTCCAGAACGTGATGCTGACAACTGATAAATTGTGCTTTGCTAATCCCCTTCTCTGAGAACGCTCGTTGCAGTTTGACAACAGCTCTACTCTTTTTTTCTGTGTTAACGTTAGGCTATACCTGTAAATGTATTGTCAGACAAACGGTGCTCACTGATACACTCCTCTGTGGAATACAATGAGAAACTGATAACAACAATAATAGACGCTAGTAAATAGAGTTGTCAATTAGTAATTTTCTGAGTTGCTACTTATGAATAGTAACGCAGATACATGGTGATTCATAGTTTTTATTAAAGGATGACCTTTTTGAAACAGAGGAATTAGGGACTTTTTCATTGTTTTTAAACAAAAGTTCATTGATTTATGACACAGGAGATGTTTTATTTGGAAAAAAAGTAAAAATTGTAACCCTAATAATATATATATATATATATATATATATATATAAAATATATATATATATATATATATATATATATATAATATATATGCAAAACAACCATTGTGAAAGAATAGTGAAATTCCAAGCCCCTTTCGTGACTACTCACATTGTCAAGGAACTATATATATATATTTTGTGTGTGTGTGTGTGTGTGTGTGTGTATGTGTGTGTGTATGTGTGTGTGTATGTGTGTGTACTCACCTATTTGTGGTTGCAGGGGTCGAGTCATAGCTCCTTGCCCCGCCTCTTCGCTGATTGCTACTGAGTCCCTCTCTCCCCTGCTCCATGATCTTTAATAAACCTCATCTTAAAACTATGTATGGTTCCTGCCTCCACTACGTCACTTTCTAGGCTGTTCCACTGCCTGACAACTCTGTGACTGAAGAAATCTTCCTACCATCCCTTTGACTCATCTGAGTCTTCAACTTCCAATTGCGACCCCTTGTTTCTGTATCCCATCTCTGGAACATCCTGTCTTTGCCCACCTTGCCAATTCCGCGCAGTATTTTATATGTCGTTATCATGTCTCCCCTGACCTTCCTGCCCTGCAGTGGCGTCAGGCCAATTTCTCTTTACCTTTCTTTGTAGGATAATCCCCTTAGCTTTGGGACCAGCCGTGTGCAAACCTTTGCACTTTCTTTAATTCCTTGACGTGCTTGACCAGGTGTGGATTCCAAACTGGTGCTGATACCCCAGTAAGGGCCTGATGTAAATAGTGTACAGAGTCCTTGAACGATTCCTTACTGAGGTATCGGAACACTATTCTTAGGTTTGCCAGACGCCCGTGCGCTGCAGCAGTTATCTGATTGATGTGCGCCTCAGATGTGCTCGGTATTATACTCACCCCAAGATCTTATTCCTTGAGTGAGGTTTGCAGTCTTTGGCCACCTAGACCATACTGTGTCTGCGGTCGTCTTTGCCCTTCCCCGATCTTCATGACTTAACATTTGGCAGGGTTAAATTCAAAGAGCCAGTTGCTGGACCAGGCTTGTAGCCTGTCCAGGTCTCTTTGGAGTCCTGCCTGATCCTCGACCGATTTGATTCTCATTAACGTCACATCATCTGCAAACAAGGACACTTCTGAGTCTATCCCTTCCGTTATGCCACTCACATATACCAAAAACAGCGCAGGTCCTAGGACTGACCCCTGTGGAACCCCGCTGGTCTCTGGCGCCCACTCTGACACCTCGTCATGTACCATGACTCGTTGCCTCCCTGTCAGGTATTCTCTGATCCATTGCAGTGCCTTTCCTGTTATGTGTGTGTGTGTGTGTGTGTGTGTGTGTGTGTGTGTGTGTTAGTTAACATTTTGTCCTAGACATATGTCGGTTAGACGCTAGGCCTGTTGTATATGCGTGCGTTCGTGTGTGTGTGTGTGTGTACTCACCTAATTGTACTCACCTAATTGTGGTTGCAGAGGTCGATACTCAGCTCCTGGCCCCGCCTCTTCACTGATCGCTACTAGGTCCTCTCCCTCTCTGCTTCCTGAGCTTTGTCATACCTTTTCTTAAAACTATGTATGGTTCCTGCCTCCACTACGTCACTTGCTAGGCTATTCCACTTCCTGACGACTCTATGACTGAAGAAATACTTCCTAACGTCCCTGTGACTCGTCTGAGTCTTCAGCTTCCAATTGTGACCCCTTGTTTCTGTGTCCCCTCTCTGGAACATCCTGTCTCTGTCCACCTTGTCTATTCCCCGCAGTATCTTGTATGTCGTTATCATGTCTCCCCTGACCCTTCTATCCTCCAGTGTCGTCAGTCCGACTTCCCTCAACCTTTGCTCGTACGACATTTCCCTGAGCTCTGGAACTAGCCTTGTTGCAAACCTTTGTACTTTCTCTAACTTCTTGACGTGCTTGACCAGGTGTGGTTCCCAGACTGGTGCTGCATACTCCAGTATGGGCCTAACATACACAGTGTACAGTGTCTTGAACGATTCCTTATTAAGGTATCGGAACGCTATTCTCAGGTTTGCCAGGCGCCCATATGCTGCAGCAGTTATTTGGTTGATGTGTGCCTCCGGTGACGTGCTCGTGTTATGGTCACACCCAAGATCTTTCTTCCCTGAGTGAGGTCTGTAGTCTTTTGTCCACCTAGCCTATATTCTGTCTGCGGTTTTCTTTGCCCCTCCCCAATCTTCATGACTTTGCATTTGCAGGGTTGAATTCAGAAGAAGCCAGTTTCTGGACCACGTGTCCACCTGTCTAGGTCTCTTTGCAGTCCTGCCTGTGTGTGTGTGTGTGTGTGACTGTGTGTGTGTGTGACTGTGTGTGTGTGTGTGTGTGTGTGTGTGTGTGTGTATGTATGTGTGAGTGTGTGTGTGTGTGTGTGTGTGTGGTGTGTGTGTGTGTGTGTGTGTGTGTGTGTGTGTGTGTGTGTTTTGAGTGTACATAAGTTCGTTTGTATATTTCGACCCCAACTGGAATCCTCAGTATCTCTAATTTAAAGGTTCACGACCTACAGACCAGACTACCGTCCTATTACCCCTTCTCATAGGTGGGTAAAGAGGGAGTTAAGCGCGTAGTAAGGGGGGGGAAGTGAGTAGATAGTGAGGGAAAAAGTGAGTAATGAGAGAGATAATTGCGTAGTGGGGGGAAATTCAATAAAGAGGGAGGTAAGTGCGTAGATAGTGAGAGGGAATAAGTGAGTAATGAGGGAGGTAAGTGAGTAGATAGTAAGGAAGACAAATGAATAATGAAGGAGTTAGGTAGGAAGGAAGAAGATAAATAGGTAAGAACGGTAATGTGTAGGTTAGTTTGTAAATATCCAGGATGGAAAGTGTGGAGGTGGAGTTAACTATTGTAGCTTGACTTGTGTATATAAAGGCCAGTGTGAATAGTTGATGTGTGTGTTTAGTGATGCTGCTGCTGCTGCTGCTACCTCTCTGGTGCACACACACATACACACACACACACACACACACACACACACACACACACACACACACACACCACACACACACACACACACACACACACAAGGTGGGCAGGGACAGAATGTTTCAGAGATGTGACACAACTGGAAGTTGAAAGCTCAGATGAGTCACAGGGATGTTAGGAAGAATTTCTTCAGTCATAGAGTTGTCAGGAAGTGGAATAGTCTGGAGAGTGATGTAGTGGAGGCAGGATCCATACATAGCTTTAAGAAGAGGTATGATAAAGCTCATGGAGCAGGGAGAGAAAGAGCTACCAGTGAAGAGGCGGGGCCAGAAGCTATGACTTGATTAGTGAGTACACACACACTACTGTATACAGCATATGTCAGGCCTATATTAGAGTATGCAGCACCAGTATGTAACTCATGACTGATCAATGTGATATCAAGAAACTGGAGAAAGTGTGGAGGCTCGCAAAGAAACTGTTCTCTAAGGTAAGGTACTGTGAGGAGAGATTATAACACAACTATGGATCGGTTCCTCTTCCCATCGTCTTTCATGTACAGCTTTGTTTATCTTGCGTTTCTAGTAAATACAAAGAAGTTTTTTTTTTTTATGTTGAGGGCAACGACCAAGCAGACTCAGCTGCTCCACCAGCCGTTTATGACTTCTTGATTTTCGACAGGGGTAATCCTTTCTCGGACGATTTTTTAATTTTTCGTCTCTACAACTTCGCAATCACTGGCAACAACGTTGTTCCGAGTTTGCCCGCAATAAATTGCTTTCTATCAAAACACTTTTGGGATTCTGGACATCCCACCACTGTCAGGTTTAAGAGACTGCACTCTCATGCTTACATATCAGGCAACACGCAGATCACTCACGGATAACACATGGGGAAACGACCAGAGCTTTAAGAGTAAATTCGATGGGACTCACGAGGCTATGAGGGAGGGAATCTGGCAAGCGGAAAGTTGAAAGGCGGGGCCAGGAGAAAAAGATCGACCCATGCAACCACATACAGGCGAGGACACACACTCAGGTGTGCACACCTGGATTACGTAGTACAAGAATATTGATAGATCTCTTGTATACCTGTTGATGCTTTCAAGGATCATCGTCCCCAGACGTGATCTCAGACTAGACCTAGTATACGACCTGGTTAATCAGACTGTTGGTGTTCACATGTATTATGTAGGTACCACAGCTCTGTTACTCAGGAATGGTATTGATCATCTTGTCAAGTTCCCTCATGAAAAGAAAAGGTACTTGTAATGCTTCTTAGTGTTGAAGGGAACGCTTTGTAAATCCTTTATATATATATCCTTGATGCATAATGAGTTATCTTTTAGTGTACTTATATTTCCCTGGGGTATTTTTCCATTCGTCTTCTGTCCCTTCCACTGTTGTACGGAGTTGTTTCATTGTGCAGATAATCACCAATCTCTGTGTGGTAACTTTACAAGCAGCTACATGGTACGGTGTTATTTTCTGTGTCATTGTATAGGTGGGTGTGAGATCACATATGTCTAGGTGCAAGAGCAGCGCCAAGCTCGTCTTATAGCACATACTACCTCGTCTTGCAACTCACAAACACTTTACCTCAGTATCTGTGTATGAATTCTTTCTAGTATCCTTACAGCAGCCTTTATCTTAGTTGACAAGTGTGGCCTCTTGTTCTTTCCGTTAATAGTACTAAGGATCTTCTTGAGCTGTATTCTCTTATCGTTTAAAGATGTAATATATGTCTGTTGTGTTTCTGCTATCAGATAGCGAGGACATCCTTATTGTCTTCTGTGATTCATCCTATGACATATTCCTCAGACGTTGTGAAGAGCGTTTGCACTAGATCACCAGCCGTATATCTCAAGTGTTTGTTATGAAGTTTGCTTGTGTAACGTACGTTTATCTCATATATTTGTAATGTGATGGTAGTACATATGCCATTTATAATTACTGCTGGTTACTTCTCTCCACCCACTGATCCTTATAATAGTATGTGTGTGTGTGTGTGTGTGTGTGTGTGTGTGTGTGTGTGTGTGTTTGTGTGTCTCAGTATTAGTACCAGTTCCTAGTAAACAGTTACCAGTAACCAGTGTACCAGTAGATGACTCACTATGAACCGTCTGTGTGAATCACTGTTATTCATATCCTGTACTGGGTGATCTTTTACGTAACATCGGAGATAACAAAGTCTTTTCAACCCTGGACTTGTTACAAGGGTTTTGGCAAGTCCCTCTTCACGAGGACAGCCAAGAGCTAACTGCATTCTCCACTCCTACAGGTCATTATCACTTCCTCAGTATGACGTTTGGATTACGATCCTCCCCTATCACGTTCTCAAGGCTCATGACTAATATCTTTAGAGGTCTCATAGGTAATGCACTTATGGTGTACTTAGAAGACGTAATCGGTCCATGTCTAAGACCGTGATACACAGTTTGAAAAAGACCATGATGTAGTACTTGTGAGCTTGAAAACCATTTAAAGACAACTGTCTAAATGTCAATTTTTCAGATCAGAAATTAAGTTTCTTCTTGTCACAGTTTCACTCCTAGAGGTTTACGACCTGACCAAAGTAAAGTAACTACTGCAGTACTAAATATTCCAACACCCAAAACTCTGATGCAGCCAGATCGCTTTGTGGGCTTAGGCAGGTTTTTTATAGACTTTCATTGCCAATTTTTTCTTCTATAGCTGCTCCTCTAACTGATTGCTTATGAAAATATCTCCTTTTGTTTGGACCTATCTCCGTCAAGAAAGAGCATTCCAAACTCTAAAAGAAAAACTACCATCTGCTCCAATTTTGAAATTTTCCTCCGATTTTTCTAAGCCCTTCTAGTCGACCTACTGATGCTAGTTCTTTGGCATAGGTGCCGTACTAGCTCAGAAGACGTATGGCATAGTACAACGCAGTTGCATTAGCTAGCCGAGTCCTTACGGAAGGCGGAAGGTAATTATAACAGTAAACAGAGGCAAAAGCTTTTAGCAAACTATGGCTTTAAAAGCACTTCTGAGACATTATTTATCAGTACCTGTTCATGTCTTGACAGACCACGCACCATCTGATTCCTTTATTCCTGAACAACAACCTAATTGGAAGGTTAGCCAGATGGAACTGACTATCCAAGAGTTCAATCTCCCTTTGAACACTTACCTGGCAAGTCACATGTAGTCGCAGATGCCTTATCCTGAGACAGTTAGTTTTAGGTAACTCAGACCCTCCATTTTGTGCAGAAGATGTAAAGAATTGCTCAACGAACAGATCCCATGTGGTCTGGTGTGCTCTGATTCTGCTCCATGAAGATCTTATTTTTGACTGGGCAGCCCCCAGCACCCTCAGTGACTTTGGTCCTGAACCAAGAATTACTGAATCGAACAGCCGAGTTGGGTTCTCCTAGCAGAAGAGTTTACCAGTTAGTAATTTCCACATATACTAAGTGAATGTAGCCCTACAGCTAGTGCTCGATGTACCAGTGTGCCGCACCCTGTATGGATCGTTCAGTAAAAATAAGAGCAGATTGAAATACTTTTTGGCCTCATATAGCAACTGATATTTCTGAGTATGTTAAAAATTAGTGTCTGCATGCAACATAAAGGTAATGCTATTGTCCTAACCAATCCAATGTATCCAACCACTAGCGAACCGTGGAAAGAGTTGGCCTAGTAAAATCTGTAACTAATTTTCCAATGTTTCCTCCAGGGCAACAAACATCACGTGTTTATGTAGAGATCTATTTTCACCAGATATTGTGAGTTAGTTCCTATTTGCAGATAAGACGGCCGAGAACAGTAGCTAAAGCGATTAAAGAACGCATTATCCTGCAGGCATAGTCATCCCTAAGTCCCTAATAACAGATAATGGAGGTGAATCTGTAATGAGATTCTTGAAAATTTGTGTCCTTGTACAAGATCTTTTAAATCCCCATTGTTTCCTCATCACCCCTGCCAGCAAGGGGTTAGCGAACGTACCAATAAGAAAGTACTTGATGTCTTGAGAGCCACTATCAATCCCAACAGTGAAACTTGGGATGAAGTTAAAACCTGATGTGCAGTGTGCTATAAATTCTGCTTACAGTTTTTTCTATAGGTGACACTCCCCATTATCATTGTAGGTGTAGATAAACGTTTGCCTTATGAGTTGCTATATTCTAATCCGAAACCAAATTACAACCCTGATAAATTTCATAGCAACTCGTACCAGCTTAGCTCAAAGGGGTTTTAGAAGAATCCTTGAAACACTTCATAAATAAACAGCAAAAATTTACAAGAGTCGCAAACACTCGAGCAAAGCCATCCAAAATCAAAGTAGGTTCGAGAGTTATGCGACTAACTTTAAAACGAAACGTCTGCAATGCCTAAGCTTGATCAAAAGATTGTGGGTCCTTATCGAGTAGTTGAATATATCACTGGTAATAAGTATAAGGTTAGAGAAATTAGTACTGGTCAGTATAAAGAATCGCATTTAGATCATACGAATTTTAGTATGTGATGATAATGATGTTCCAACCCAGAAACCTAATGTGACAGACTCGACATTCCCCCCTGATCCTGTACTCTCTACCTCTGATACTCAGTCAACGATCAACCTGATTGTCGTATTCCCTATGTACACGACAGGGATTGAGAAAAACCCCCAAGTATCATTTTTTACTTCCAATTCAGATTTGCCTCAAATATTTGCCCTGAGTTAGCCAGTGCAACAAGTTTGATCCTCCCATAGATGACACCCATTCTGCATATACAATCACACCTAGCAGATTGGGGTTAAATGTAAATAACCTGTATAGATGAATAATTACAGTGTCAACTTATCAGTATTCAAGATTTTTTTTTTTTTGTGTTCACGTTCTCTCCGAATTCTGAGAGTTAACAGTCTAGATTTGAGTGCACCGAATCTGCCTTTCTGTTAAACACTTCTTTCTTTGTATATATTCCTTCCTCAGAATCCGTAGATCACATGAATACAGATCGATCGATCAAATTTTTTTTTATCACTTCTATTGTGTAATCCCAACGTTGAGTTTCATTCGATGAGTTGTGCTATATTATACCTTGTATTGCATTACAGTTTCATTACAGTTTCAGTTACATAAGCTTCCATTCCAATATTCTACTTATGTATGTTATAATGTTCAATTGTTGTGTACTTTGACATTGTATAGAATCAGCCCAAGCCGTACACCTGCCGTCTTTAGTTTGTATTAGTTGTATGTCAGGACGACATACGTTAGCGTCGCTGAGCTCTCAGTAGTAGTACCAGTTCCTAGTAAACAGTTACCAGTAACCAGTGTACCAGTAGATGACTCACTACCAACCATCTGTGTGAATCACTGTTATTC